GAATGCGTCCTACCAGTTCACTAAACTTGAACCCCAATAGTAAGGTGAAAGCCAGTGAAAAACCTAGCACCCCCAAGGCCCACATTTCTGGTGACCTGTGAAGCCTTGCTACGTAACTCCACCCTCAGTTCCTAGCATCCTGTTTGGTGGTGATGACATTATGGGCTTGTAATCCTTGGTGTCTTGGATCTCTTTGGTCTGAGGTAGGAGTGGGCCCCATAAAACTTATTTGCAGTGTTTGTTTAGGACATCCTTTAACGCCCAACAATTACACCAAAAAATTATTTACCTGAGATGTCTTAAGTATCATAGTGAGTTCTAAGCATTGGTATCAAGAGGGCCTAAAACTTGCCAATTTATTAACATTTTACCTATCCAATTAAACTCTTGTACTTTTTTTTTTTAAAGATTTATTTATTTATTCATACAGAACTGTGGTATAGGCCAGAGATGGGGAGGGTGAGAGGATTCACCAGAGACAGAGCAGAAAGCAGAACAGGCAGATCAACAAAGTACACTGCTGAGGGGAGCAGCAGGCAGGCCAGGAGAGGTCTGCCATGCCATGTGAATCTCCTCCAGGGCAGGCGGCGATCAAACTCATGAGGAAGTGGCTTAAGCTTCTTAGTGCAGTGCTTTAACCCTCTGCGCCACCAGGGAGGGCCAAACTCTTGTACTTTTTAAATTAATTTTTTAAAAGATTTATTTGTGCATATAAGAGCTGGGTTGCAGATGGTGAGAGGATTCAGCAAAGACAAAGTAGGCAGTACAGGTGTGGACTGACTGAAATACATTGCTGAAGGGAGTAGGGGATGGATGAGACAGGAGAGGTCTGCTGCGCCATGTGGGTCAGCTCCCTGGCTGGGGATAGAACTCATGTGCAGTGGCTGTGGATAGCTTCATAGTGCTGAGACTTAACCCCTTGTGCCACCAGGGAGGGCTTTAAACTCCCTTGTATTAATCAGAATAGGTTAACTGCTGTATCTAATTGACTGTAAAACTTTTTTTTAAAGATTTATTTATCTATGCTTACAGAGCTGGGGTACAGGCTAGAGGCACAGGGGTGCTGAAGGATTCACCATAGTCAGAGTGGTAAGCAGAACAGGCAGACTGACGGAAATACACTGCTGAGGGGTGCAGTGGACCAGACAGGGGAGTTCTACTGTGCCATGTGGGTCAGCTCACAGTGCAATGGCAGTGGAGATAACTTGATGTTAAGTTAACCTGAGCCAACTGGGAGGCCCTTTTTTTCTGTAACAGTTTATAAGGACAGACTTAGGGTCGCCCTGATGGTGCAAGTGGTTACAATCTCAGCGCTATCAAGTAATTGCCAGTTACTGCAACATGAGTTTGATCCCTGGCCTGGGTTCTAACCCACAAGGCACAGCAGAACAGCAGACCTCTCCTGTCTAGCCTCCTGCTTCTTCACCAGAATATTTTAGTATATCTGTCTGTTCTGCTCGCCACTGTCTCTGGTGAATGCTCCCACTGCCCCTCCCAACCCTCCCCCAGCTGGCACCTCTGGCTTATGCCACAGCCTTTTTTTTTTTTTTTTTAAGATTTATTCATTCATGCCCAAAGAACTGGAGCACAGACCATAGGTGAAGGGGCAGTGAGAGGATTCACCAGATACAGAGTGGGGAGCAGAACAGGCAGAGTTACTGAAATAACTGCTGAAGGGAGCAGTGGGAGACAGGAGAGGTCTGCTGGGCCTTGTGGGTCAGCTGGGGGGTAGGGAGGGAAGCAGTAGCTGAGGCTGGCTTCATGGAGCTGCACCTTAACCTGTTGCGCCACCAGGAAGGGCTCTTATGCCCCAGTGTTGTATGTGTAAATAAATGAATCTTTAAAGAAAAAGGACACAGGAAACTGCAGTCACAAGTGGGCACAACTGCCTATTTTTCAAATTTTACGCAGTAGTCCATCAAGTTGTTGCTTTGCTTTCCATTACAATGAAATTTGTCACAAATTATTTAAAGTAACAAATGTTTTGCCCCAGTAATTAATGTAAGTTGATATGACAAAAGTGGCCTTGACTATATGGCAGAGCTTGCTAAGGAATAAGCAGCATATCTAACAAAGGAAAGGAGAAACTGGGGCAATTTTTATTCAAAAGAAAATGTGAAAATAGAGGAAAAACTTGACTTTAGTAAAGATGTAGTTGAAAATTTTAAGTAAAACACTTCCTCAAAGGGGCTCTCCCTTGTAGCACAATGGGCTAAAGCACCAGATTATTAAACTCTCCCAAGCCACTGCAGCACACAGGGCAGACCTTTCCTGACCAGTCCAGACCTCTCCTGACCAGTCCGCTGCCACCCTCAGCGGTGTACTTTGTCAATCTATCTGTTCTGTTCCCCACTCCGTCTCTGGTGAATCCTTTCACCCACCGCACTTCGCACTTCTGGCCTGTACCCCAGTTCTGTAAGCACAAATAAATAAATATTAAAAAAAAAAAAACACTTCCTCATGTTACATTCTTCTATTGCCAATGACATGTGGTTGACTTTTCTTGTTATACCACAAGGCTCTTAAAGGGTATGGGCCACAATCTCAGGTCAATTTTTTACTTCCAACCCTCCTTGACATTAAAATGGGATCGTGTCTTTTACCTTAATGCAGAGAGAATTCACAAGGACTCTGCCCTTAGTAGTTGCTTTCTATAGTTGCTGCCTCTGAGGTTCACACTACTAAAAAAAAATCTAAGTAACAGGTTAAAAATCTTTTTTGAATTGTTTGGGATACACTATGCCACTTCCACTATAGTTGACTTTTTTCAGTCCTAACCTCCCTATACAGTGGCATCTGATTTTTTTTTCGAAGATTTATGATACAAGAACTGGGATGTAGGGAGCAAACAGGCAGATTTACTGAATTACACTGTGAAGGGGAGTAGTGGGAGACAGGAGAGGTCTTCTGGGCCAGTGGCCAGCCCCCCAACCCTCTTGAGACAGAACTCATGCTGCAGTGGCTAGTGATACCTGGATAAGGTTGAGGCTTTAACCCCTCTCCCACCAGGGAGGCCATATAGGGACATTTTAAATAAAACAATCATTTGACATTTTATGTAAGCATGGCTTACTAGAAATTAAAAATAAGATATAGCCAGTGAATAATCTTCATTGCACCCCCCTCTAAGCGATGCAGTTACCTCCCCTTCTGTGGAGTCACGGTGACAGGAAGCATCCAAACTCGAGACTAGACTTTGAAAACATTTCATGTTTCTGGAACACGACTTTTCTAAATGGGTTTACTCTGACCATTATCAAAATGAACCTTCAGTCTTCCCATATGCACAAGACCAAGAATGGGGGGCAGCAACTGAGAGGCAACCAACTATCCCATCTGCAATAACCTGTTCCCTAGCACCCAAATCCTGCTGAAACATTTTCATTCAACAAATATAAAGCAGACTCTGCTGGGCTCTGAGGATATAATGAACAAATCAGATATGGTTCCAGCTCTGCTGGAGCTGCTTTGGATATGGAATTAAAGCATTTCAGAAACAATATGTAATTACAATCTGAGTGGAGCACTGTGAAAACTAAGGATGTTATCAACATGATTTTGGTGTCAGGGAAGGCATCTCTGAGAAAGTGGTATTTAAACTGGAACTGAGAAAGGTATGGGGGGGGACCATTTCAGAATGGAAAAAAGCTTGCCCATTTGAAGAACTCAAAGCCGTCTGCTAGAAGCACAAAAAAAGAACTAAGTTGAAGGAAAGGACAGTACTGCTAGGTAGGTTATTTTATGGAATACAGAGGTTCTATTTTATAATCAAGAGGAATTCATTAAGAGTTTAAACAAGGGAATGCCACAATCAAGTTTGCCTTGTGAGATCACTCTGGTTGCTTTATGAACAGGGTAATGTGAACTAGTCAGGAGGTAGTTGCTGTAGTTCAGACAAGATGGCTGTTTCTGGGATAATGGCACATAAATGTGTGGATGGAAGTACTTTGGGAGTAGACCTAACGGGACTTGGGGCTAAACTGGATGTAAGGAAGAGGATACCTATGAGTGGGCAGCCAATTAGTATAAACAGAATAAACATAGCTAAAGCTTAACAAGTGCCATGTATAGGGCCAAACAAGGCCAGCAAACTAGGGCACTCAGTGGAGACAAGAGCAGCTGAATTCAAACCACTTAGTTTTAACAACTAGCCAAAAAACAGTCAAGCTCTCATTTGGTGATAATGGATGACTATTTCATGAATTTAAGAGTTTGGGACAGTAAAGGTATCCTTGGGTTAATGTGATACTCTTGCAAATTAGTAAGTGATGAGGTTAAAACTGGTATTATCCCATTTCAATAACCTGACAATATGTGCCAAGAGTTTGTTAGGTCCCTCAGCCATGAAGGGCTCACGAAAACCCATGGGGTCAGGCTGGAGGCCCAGAAAAGGGAGGGCAGCAGAGTCAGTGTACAAACCTGCAAAAATGGCAGACACTCCATAAATCTCACTCCTGCATTATAGCAAAATCAAGGTATCCAACCGGCAGTATTACTATACCTTACATAGTACTCATTTTACTCTCCCAGCATAAGGGAGAAAGGAGCCCATCTTAGTCCTTGTTAGAGGGTTTCACTTTCTCCTTTTTCCTTGCTGGTACTCAAAACCTGCTCCACCAGGCTGAAGTCAAAGCCAGAAACTCCATGAAATTGTCCCAAAAGGAACAGATGATGCTTTGATCAAGTTTATTTCCACATGTCTAATCATTCTCCTTCCTATTCCCAAAGGCTACATTATCAAAAAACTCACCTATTTTTTTTAAGATTGATTTATTTATACATACATACATACATACATACAAACAGGAACTGGGGTACAGGCCAGAGGTGCAGGGGGTGAGAGGATTCACCAGAGATAAGAGTGGGTAGGGAACAGAACAGGCAGGTTCACTGAAATATACTGCTGAGGGTAGCAGCAGGTGAGACAGAAGTCTGCTGCACCATGTGGGTCAGCTCGTTGGCCCTGGATCGAACTCATGCTGAAGTGGCTGTAGCTGGCTTGCTTCTTAGTGTTGTGCGTTAACCCACTGCGCTACCAGGGAGGGCCAAAACAACTCACTTATTTTGAGTGGGAGGTAAAAAACTCTGTCCAAACCAATTTACCTTTACCTTTGACTGCTGGTTAAAACTTGAGTGCTCAATCTGCTAGACTCCAAAGCAAGTCTAACATCTAAGTATTATGCTGGGCATAAAACACTGGAAGCATGCCTTAGACCAGAAGTCAGTACTGGTATGCATTGACTTCTGCTTGCCCTCATCCTAAACTTAAAAGAACTCTCAAGCACTGCTCTCTTCTTTAACCTTATTTCTTGATGGATAGTTTTCCCTTTACCCTATCTCTCCACTTCTTTCTCTTCTGGATATGTATGGCAGCAGAACTCAATATTCTTAGCCTCCTGCCAAATTTAGCACTGTTTTCATATTTTCTTCTACGGAGGGGGCTTCTTCTCTCTTCATATCTGAAAGAGGAATAGAATTTCATCTGAGGATAAGGGTCATAAAATTAAGAGTTGGTATGAGCACACCAGACTATGTAAAGGAACCCAACACTAAACATTAAAACAAGATTTTGGCAGTTTATTTTTTTATTGATATAAAGTTGAAACATATTTAAATCACCTTGCTGTTAAGTTTATGCATGCCAAAGTTGGCATCCTTTGTAACAATTTCCTTTATTACTACTCTGGGTGGATACACTGCTGTCTACAGCAGTAACTAGATATATTTTGGGTGTAAGGCAAAATACTGTATAATTTCCAAAGACTGTCCTTTTCAGTTTAAAACTTCACCACCCACAGATTGATAGAGTATAATATCAATCTTTTAGGTGTATATATAATTCACACACTGTATGTATGTGTCTATATATACATGTGTTCTAAGGGCGGAAAGAACATGCTTAGCCGTTCTTTTTGTATTTCTTAAATTACCTTGAAACATGCTGCTTACATAAAAAGGAGAAATTACACTGGATATCTACACTAACATTATAAAAACCTACTGTATAACAACAAACTTCTCATTTGCTTTACAAAGACCCCTACTACATCCTTATTTATTTACACTCACACATAACCAACTTTGAAGCTCTGTCCACATCATTCAAGCCTTCCCTTCCAACTATACCATGTTAAGTTGCCTCAAATAAATAGTTCATGAATTCCGTAGATACTTCAGAATATTACCAATTAATTTCTATTTTGAATGAATATCCAGGTGTATAATTTTTTATCTGATTATGACAGTAGGCTACTGACATCAGACACCTCCTATTACCTAAGAATAAAAGATCTCATATGAAAAATATTCAAAGATTACTTTCTTCAAAAGATCACCAAGCCAAACATTTGGCCATATTTTTATTTACTACATATACTATAAACATATACAATACATGCTACAAAAAAAAAACATTTTTTAAAATTTAACTGTCAAGAAAGTGTATAGTGTTATAATACAATGGCACATGTTCATACTTTATTTCAAATTGGTTTGCTTATCACCCATTTCAAACCATTAATAGTGAAATGTTACTTAAAGATAATTAAAAATTATCTATTTGCATTATTAACAATAAACAATTCCAACAAATTAATAAGAATTAACCATGTCAAATATTAGTATCCAAAAATTGGGCTTTTGCAGAAATGATTATATAAAATATAGCAGCCAATTTCAGTTTACTTTGCTCTGTGACATTTGCACATACACACTTGAATAGGATTTTAGGATTTATTTTTGGAAGATATTTGTAAGAAGTCCTTTGATGTCTTAAGGTCCATCAACTGTCACGTTCAGCCAAATCCAACCCAACAGTTCTTGTAATGGCTTCAGACAACTGATCACTGAGAAATTCTTATGATTTACATAGAGCTGCATGTCCCACTGATAGTACATTATGATGAAAAGAGACATTATAAGCCAACAAAGTCAAAGGCAAAAGAACTTACAGAGTCAAATCAGTTGTGACAAGGTTCTCTACAAATATTTTAGATGTCATACTTTTAAGGAAAACAAGATTAATGCACATTTGGATTTTACAGTATTTATGCTCTAACCGAAAATTTAAGAGTAGTCAGATGGAATTAGGCCTAGTATTACAAATCTGTTCATTCAACATTTCTAAGCACCCACAGCACTGTGCTAACATTTTAAAAGTAGAGTATTAATGTCTTTATCAAGCATTACCTTAGTGTGAGGTAAAAATACATTAAATTAGCATCAACTCATTAGTTTGCCTGTGATAATATATGTATCCTGTGCCAGCTGGCTTCCCTGTGCCATATAATGAGCTTCTGCCATGCCCCTCACTTACTTACAGAAACACCTGCATACAATTACTACCAGTCACTGGGATACCACGATTTGGGATATTCTTAAAGAATGCAAATTAATCATTAACCTATTCAAAAAAATTAGGAAGATACATTACTTTTCTAAAATGAGGCCCAAAGCAAAAATAAAAGATGTTTCTATTGGTCATACCACACCATGGACCAGTAAGTGTCTTTCTAGACTGGGAACTAACTGAACATTTCATGTGTAGTCTAAATAGCCTATAACATTTTTGGTCTTAGAATTCTGTCTATTCTTTGGAGCATCTGACCCTATTAAAACCATTCCATACTTAAAAGGGTTTGTAAACTAAACCTGAACATAAAGAGCCAAAAATAATGGCAGATTATAATGTAATGTACTTTAAACACTATTCTGGCCATGTAAAATGAATAACAGGTAAGTAATTCATGATTGGTTCAAACATTTTTCAAAGCACTAGCTCCGTAACCCCAAATTCACATAATAAAGCAAAAGACAGAATTTGGCCCTACAACCTTTTATGGAATATTTTAAGTGATTGGTCCTTCCACTCCAAAGAGAGTCCCCTAATAGGATACTGGTAATCAGGACAAAAGGCCCTGCTGGATTCCATTAGCCAGGAGTCTATGTAGCTGTCATGACAGTGTGAACCTACTTGACTCCTTGGGGGAAGGCAGAAAGCTGGGAGTTTGGCTGTCTACTCAGTGAATCCAATACTGGCTTAAAGCTATGCACTGAATAAAGTGCTCTGCACATCCTGCTTGTCATCTGGAATGAAAACAAACATTTATCTTAAGAATTAACCTGTTTGTAGATTTCTGGAAAAGAAGAGGGTTGAAAGAATTCCAAGAAAAAGTATGAAGCATTGACTAGGAAGAAAGACAAATGCCTCTAGTAGTGTCCTCAGAATTCTCAGGATTTGAACTGTCAGAATGAGTCATTCTGACATAACTGTCAGAATAATGTCATGTTCTATAAATGAAAAAGCAGTCCCACTGGGTACTTTTCACACGGTGCTTGACTACTTCGCAGGGGTGGAAGGGAACACTCTATTGCCATTTGGTAGTATGATTTCATAATAAAACAGAACCAATGAAAAAATCAGGGCAAGCAGTATGCAACCCTTCTGTCCTGTCTGTCAGTTCTCCACAGGTTGCTTCACATTGCCACAGAGAAAGGAGGAGACCTTACCTATCCTTCTGACATGCAGGCACGGCTGCTATCACCTAAAATTGCCAATTCAGTTAACACACCAGCCCTCCAGTTTCGTACCCTGAATACTTTAAATGAGACTAGGGATGGAATCGTTCAGTCTAAAAAAGATCACAGGTAACAGAATGCTTATATAAACTAGACTGCTTTGACATCTGTAAGAAAACTGTATAGATGGCATGAGGTTGGGGTGGGGAGGGGAAGAGATTGTTCCCATCTGTCAGCAAAACTGTTTGTTGAGCTATACTCAGCTGAAGTCCTCATCGGGATTCTGTTGATCCAGCAGACGGACATGTGTGAATGGGAAGTGACCTCGTTTGCCATTACACTCCCCTTCCCACTGACCACTCACATTAATCTTCGTAACCTTTACCAGCTCACCGACCTGCAGGAGGAGAATAAGGAGAGCACTTTATTTCCAGTTTTGAATGCAAGCTGAAAAACTCCATTCTCTGGTTAGGCATACCCTGATCACCTGATTGCTCTAGGGCTGATGTTACAGAAATGGATATTTGATGCCCCCAAGCCCCAGACCCCAGGCTGATTACTTGTGGTTAATGCAGGCAGAAAGAAGAAGTGATTTATGCAGTGCAGAGAAACAGAGTACAAAACATAGAAAAGAGTCCTAGGAAATACTTTTTAGAGATGTCAGTGTCTAAATGGGATGAGCAATCCCAACTAGAGTCAGCTAGTATTCCTTATTTTTGGTAGCTATTAAATTTAACTTTGTACCTCACAGGCCCTGGCCTAGGGGAAAAAGCAAGCATGTTCTCCCCTCACTGAAATAAAGCAGCAGCACAATCCCCCAGTCTACTCTCCCTCCTACTAAGAGAAGGTTTCCACCTGAATAGGTATAGGCCAAAACTCCAAATTCCATCAGCTCCCTTCAAAATTCACCTTCCTCGGAAGGTCTATTTGGTAAATCACTGCCTATCAGCTCCCAACCCCCTTCATATAGTGACAGCCCTTGTTCACTCAATGCTACTGCTCCCTATTCATTAATAATAAGGGGACATCATATTTTTACTTCTGTTCTAAAAAACCTGCTGTTGCAATATCAAATTTATATAGTTTTGACAATGTAGACCTCTACCCTGCCATGAAGCTTAGGACAAGGTCAATCTAATCACTGCAGTTATCCTCCATCAGAACACTGAACTATGGTGAGATAGGCTCCAAATATCACTGACTAAAAAACTTTATGACTATCTTTATTAACTTCTGAATTCTAAGCATATAGAGGTTTCTAAGTGTAACCATTTATTAACTATTTATTTATTAAACTTCCATCAATATTGTAAAGGGTAGTTTATATAAATTATTTTCTAATCATCATAATAACCTTGTAAGACAGGAATTATTTAATTTTACAGGTGAGAAAACTGAGGTTCAGAACAAATACATGATACACGCCTAAGAAAACAGCCAGGGACAGGGTTAGGATTTGAACCTGGATTATCTGGCTGCAAAGCCTATTTATGCCCTTTCTACTATTCCAGGAATGTTCCGATTATGCTCCTAGGGCCCTAGAAGACTCCCAAGAGTCTGTAGTACAATTACTGGCTAAAGCAACTCAAGTAAACCCAGAGGCTTCTTATAACCAGCTTGTTTTAACTCAAAGAGGACATACCTTGGCTACTGAGCTATTTGTAATTTCCTAAAGACCTATCTGAAAGTCACAGGGGCCTCAAGTGGAGTCAGAGAAAGGCTAAGAAAAGCAGGACAGAAACCAGGGGATACTAGCAAGACAATGGTTAAGATTCAAGGGTAAGAAAAAGCAGTAGCTCAGTCTGCCAATATGTATTAAGGTCAAGAGTAGGTATGAGAGAAAGAGAGGGAGGGATTATATTGCATGTCCTTCCTTGAAAAAGTTACATTCCCTAAACTACTAGTACCAGGGATCTGTTCCTTCCAGACACCTTCCAAATCAATGTTCCTGAAATCTGAGCAGGCCAACCATGACAAGATTTCCATAGCCTGTGGGGTGAGGAAGATCAGGACATGAGGTAAAAAGTTCCTAGCCAGTAAGAAGAGTCTAACAGATTTCCTCCTACATCCCCAATTCTAGTTCATAAGACTATCTCAATCGTTCTCCTTTCATACATTTTGCAATGTTGCAAGAAATTTAGCTCATTAACTCTGTTAGTCAATGTTGCTATTAAGTGCCCAACTGCAAAAAGGAAAAATGTTTGAGAAGCTGTATATATGCCATGTCAAAATTCTAAATTGCCACTTATGCTTGGGTCTCCCTCAAAGGAGCCAGCTTCTTTTTTTAAGTTGGCCTACAATATCCTAGCTAACATCCCTAATAGCTATCATATCTAAATAAATCACTTGACTGATACTAAAAATGCACATAAGGGTGGGGCATTCCTGGTGGTGCAAGGGGTTAAAGTGCAGCACTCTGAAGCTACCCACCATTACTGCAGCAAGAGTTCAATCCCCAGCCAGGGAGGTGACCCACATGTCACAGACCTCTCCTATGCTCCCTTTGCTTCTCTCAGCAGTGTATTTCAGAACAGCCTACTGTGTTCCCCACAATGTCTCTGGTGAATCCTCTCACCCCACACACTTCTGCCTTGTGTCCCAGGTCTTGGATGCATAAATACATCTTTAAAAAAGAAATGCACACAAGAGGGCCTCCCTGGTGACGCAGGGGTTAAAGTCAGCAATATCAAGCTATTGACAGCCACTGCAGCCTGAGTTTGATCCCTGGCCAGGAAGGTGACCCACATGGTGCAGCAGATCTCTTCTGACCTGCCCACTGCTCCCCTCAGCAGTGTATTTCAGGCAAACTGCCTGTACTGTTCCCTACTCTGTCTGTAGTAAATACTCTCACACCCCAGTTCTCATATGCATAAAAACTAAAAACACATCTTTAAAAAAATGCACACAAGGCCCTCCGTGGTGGCGCAGCGGGTTAAAGCACTGCACTAAGAAGCTAAAGCCACTTCCGCATGAGTTCGATTCCCGCCTGCCAAGGAGGAGATCCACATGGCGTGGCAGACCTCTCCTGACCCGCCCGCTGCTCCCCTCAGCAGTGTACTTCCTAGATCTGCCTGTTCTGCTTTCTGCTCTGTCTCTGGTGAATCCTCTCACCCTCTGCATCTCTGGCCTGTACCCCAGTTCTGTACGAATAAATAAATATTAAAAAAAAAATGCACACAAGGGACACAGTGAACATTCTGGAGGGTGGAAATGTTCCATACTTTCCTCTGTGACATAATTCATCAAGCTGTATACCTAGAATACATTTTAGCAAATTATTTCCTATCTAGGTGAAAAGGATGTTGGCTAATTATCCAGCTATATGTTTCATAGAATGATTCTTTAAGATACATCTACCACAATACTTGATTCCAAAATCTAGGTTAAAACACCTCTTTTGGGGCCTCCCAGTCACGCAAGGGGAGCTATGAAGCTAGCCACAGCCACTGCAGCATTGAGTTCTATCCCCAGCCATGGAAAAATCACACACATGGCACAGAACTCCCCTGTCTAGCCTGCTGCTCCCCTCAGCAGTGTATTTCAGTCAACCCACCTAGTCTGCTCCCCAGCCTTTGGTGAATTTTCTTACCCCCCGCACCTCTGGCCTGCACCCCAGCTCTTATATGCATAAACTAAAAAAAGAGAAAAATAAAACAAACCCTCTTTTCTCTTAAAAGCCTTTCTCTTTTCTTTTCTTTTTTTTTTTTTTAAGATTTATTTACGCATCCAGACTGGGTACAGGCCAGAGATGCAGGAGCAGTGAGAGGATTCACCAGAGGTGGGGAGCAGAACAGGCAATACACTGCTGAGGGGTGCAGCTGCTAAGACAGAAGACAGAACTCTTGCTGCAGTAGCTGCAGATAGCTTCATAGTGCCATGTTTTAACCCCTTCACCACCATGAATGCCCCTCATGTGCACTTTTAACATCAGTTAAATGTTTTATTTAGATATGATGGCTAGTAGGGATATTATAGACCATCTCCAGGAAGCTGCTCCTTTGGGAGAGACTGACAAACCAAGAAATCGCCATAGAAGGATATTGTTATAATCATGGAAGTAAATAGCTGACCAGCTTAGAATTTAAAGTGGGTGCTGCTGTGGAGAGAGGCGGAGTGGGGACTGCTGCTTTTCATTATAAATCTTCTAGCAATAGTTACATATTTTTAAAACGAGTATAAATTCCTTTGCAAAAATATTTGTTTATTTACATTACTTTTATAACCTTGAATTGACATTTCTTCCTTTTTATTTATTTTAAAAGATTTACTTATGCATACAAGAACTGGGGTACAGGCCAGAGGTATGGGGGTTGAGAGGATTCACCAGAGACAGGAGTAGGGAGCAGTGGGTGAGACAGGAGATGTCTGCTACGCTTTGTGGTTCACCTCCCGGGAAAGAGATCGAACTTGTGCTACAATGGCAGCATCTAGCTTCGCAGTGCTGTGCTTTAACTCACTGTACCAGTAGGGAGGGCCCCCAAAAGCCTTTCTCTTAAGCATGCAAAGTATACTTTCAAATCACATCTGAAAAAGCTCTACCTGAAATAATTTGAAATGCAGATGAGCACAGTCCTGCACTGTTATCAGCACCACAGAACTAGCTTCTCTATGAGTAGGGCAAAACTTGATCTGCCCTCAGACATTTCATTTTTTAGAGTGTGAAGGGAGACATGTAAGTTCCAATAAAGGGAGATGTTACTGGGAGAAGGAATTATGTGCAAATTAGACCTTTGTACAATATTAGAAGAATAATTAATGTACAAACTCTCTTGGGTCTACCCTACAGAGAAAGGTTTGGGGAAACCATACTGTATTCTAGAATCCAAAGTCTTTTTTTACAGTTGATTAGATTTTGGCAGAGAGGTTCAAACATCAGAGGGTGAAAGAAAGGTTATGCCATGACTCAGAAACAATTCTGATTTTTAAATGGATAAATGAGAACAGCTGTAAGCAGTCAATTGGGCTTATTAATCTGTCCAAAATGGCCTCGAAATACAAATATTTCAAGGAAGAAATATTTATCTGCAGCCACAGCAGCAAGAGTTGGATCCCTAGCCAGGGAGCTGACCCACATGGTACAGAAGACCTCTCCTGGTCATCCGCTGATCCCCTCAGCAGTGTGTTTCAATAGATCTGCCTGTTCTGCTCCCCACTGTCTCTGGGGAACTTCCTCACATCCCTGTACCGCTGACCTATCACCAGTTCTTGTAGCTTAAATAAATGAAATTTAAAAAAAAAAAAAAAAAGACAAGTCCCAAAGGCCATATGACTATTTCTGGAGACTACAAGACTACAAGAGTTATTAGACCTTTAACAACATGGTAGAAAGGGTGACTTGTCAAAATGGAATGTGTGGCAGTGAGAGGAATGTAAGCCAGGTCAGGGCAGTATAGGAAC